ACATTGTAAGCGATGAACAACCAATTAGTAACGGCATCCTACAAGGCAGTTTACTTAGCCCAACGCTGTTTTTATGCGACATTAATGAACTTTGTATATTAAATATAAAAAATTGTAAAATAATATCGTATGCCGATGATACTACACTAACTTTTTATGGGGATTCATGGGAAGAAGTTGTAAATATTGCACAAGAAGGTTTTAATACTGTCTGTCAGTGGCTAGCCATAAATTCACGTTCACTTAATGTTGATAAAACCAAATATATTACGTTTTCGATTCAAATTATCAAAATATATTAACAATTATAAAATTATAGCTCATTCATGTTATCAACTTCCTACTTCAAACTCCAACTGCTTTAATATAATAAATACACAAGAAATTAAATACTTAGGTATAACAACAGAAAATAATCTTAAATTCAAAGCACATATAAGATATTTAACAAAAAGTCAGAAAACTAACTTACATTTTTAAAAACTTAAGACATGTTACAAATTGGACTTTGTTAAAAACTGTTTGTATATCTTTGTGTCAATCTATATTGACCTACGGTATTACTGTTTTGGGGAGGTGCCAGTAAAACACACATGCTTGAATTGGAAAGAGCTCAACGAATGATTCTAAAAGTTGCACTTTATAAGCCAAAATTTTTCCCAACTACCACTTTATTCAGGGAAGCTAAAGTGCTTACAGTACGGAAATTATATATATTGTCTACAATTTTAAAAACACACACTTGCAGTGGGTTCACACCATATTTAATATAAACCAGGAGAAGAAATTATGAGGTATGAGAAAGGATACAAGCAAAATCTACGTTCGCCCAAAAGTTTTATGGGTACAGAATAGGCAGGTTATATAATAAAATTAATAGACAACACTCAGTTTTTCAACTAACAAAATATAAATGTAAAAAAAGATTACAGATTGGCTTATGAAATTACTTGGCTTAATTTGATTACGATGAAACAGAAAATTTACTGAAATAGCGAAATAGTGAGATAGAAACACACACACTCACACACACACACACACACAGACACACGCGCGCGCGCGCGCACGCACGCACGCAAGCACGCACGCACGCACGCACGCATGCACGCACGCACGCACGCACGCACGCACGCACGCACGCAAGCACGTACGCACGCACGCACGCACGCACGCACGAAGGGACGCACGCACGCACGCATGCACGCACGCACGCACGCACGCACGCACGCAAGCACGCACGCACGCACGCACGCACGCACGCACGCAAGCACGCGCGCAGGCACGCACGCACGCACGCACGCAAGCACGCGCGCAGGCACGCACGCACGCACGCACGCAAGCACGCGCGCATGCACGCACGCACGCACGCACGCACGCACGCCTGCACGCGCGCACGCTCGCACGTACGCACGCACGCACGCACGCAAGCACGCACGCACGCACGCACGCACGCACGCATGCACGCGCGCACGCACGCACGTACGCACGCACGCACGTATGCACGCAAGCACGTACGCACGCACGCACGCACGCACGCACACACGCACGCACGCACGCACGCACGCACGCACGCACGCATGTACGCACGCACGCACACACGTACGCACGCACGTACGCATGCACGCACGCACGCACACACACACACACACACACACACACACACACACACACACACACACACACACACACACACGCACGCGCGCGCGCGCGCGTATATTTATATATTTTATATATATATTATACGTGGCAGAGCCATGCTGCAGCTATATCAGTAGTATAGTTGTAGCACGAATGGCTCGGCTCGACCGGGAAAGGACCACGCTCTCACAGAATACCAGCGTCAAATAGCAGCTTAACACTGCTGTGTTTTGTATGGTGAGTGTAGAGGACCGGATACCCTTTTTTACTGGAAACGAGATATTCCATCTTAGTCCTCATGGGTGGCAACGCATCTGCATATATATATGCTTTTATATATCATTTTGCTTATATACTTTAATGCAACACATATTGCATACTATATATATTCAATATGCCTTTTATTGTTATTTACACTTTAGAAATCTTTTATTCGATCTTCACAGGCAACGCTCACTTCATGTCTAGGTATATATTAATCGAATTGTAAAAAAGCCAAGAGGGGGAGCCAGGAGATCCATAGTATAGTGTAACCTAATTTGGGCTCCTGTCTCCCACAAGAACTTAAAACTCTTAAACTATTTATGTAAGAAATGTAACTGTGTAAAAAGTGGGAGAAATAAATAAATATTATTATTAGTTTATTAAAAAACAAACTCCTCTACAACCAGCAGTTTCTCCTTTATGGTACAGTATGTTGCTGTCGTGGTTTTCTATTTTTTGTCCCAGTCTTCGCATTTCACTTATACCTATTATGTCGTATTTTATGTTTTCTAATGATTTTTCTGGTTCTAGCAAACTTTCGTGAGTTCTAAGGGTTCCAGTATTTAGTGTTGCGATGTAAAGTACCTCACATCTTTTAGTTGGAGATTAGTGGTCTGGTACTCTTGCGGGGACCAACTGTGATGGGAGAATGTTAGCTTGTTGTTGTTTATTATGTTGTGGTTATCCGGCCTGTGGTGCCTGTATCTTCGTTTGTGCATCCCCTTTCCTAACTTTAGGAACTAACACTAGCAATTATGGATTAGTAAATTAAAGATGAAATGGGCCACAGCCTACTGTGTAATGTACAACCAGTGCGTTGCCAGTGATGATTTATGGTACTGAGACGTGGTCCTTCACTGATGGCCGGATGAGAAAGCTCAAGTTTGCTCAGCGAGCTATGGAGAGGGCTATGCTTGGAGTTTCTCTGCGTAATAAACTTAGAAATGAGGATATCCGCAGTAGAACCAGAGTGGCCGACACAGCCCAACGTGTCGGCCACTCTGGTTCTACTGGCCAGTGTAAGCTGAAGTGACAATGGGCCGGCTATGTAGCCCGAAGAACCGACAACCGATGGGGAAAAAAGTTCTCGAGTGGCAGCCTCGTACCGGTAGGCAAAGTGAAGGGCAACCCGCCAATAGATGGAACGATGACCTGATAAGACATGCAGGAAGTGCAATGGATGCAGGTTTTTTTATAAGATAGGGTGACAAAGGAGCACACAGTCCACCTGATGGTAAGTGGTTACTGTGACCCATAGACATCTACATCTATCCTCAATAAAGACTGATGCAGATGCATTGTCACCCGTGACTTATGACCGCGCTTTGTGGCATTCCTTGGGGGAGGCTACTGTTCAGCAGTGGACTTGTGAAGGGCTTTAATGATGATGATGATGATGATGAATATTTAGTATTTTGTCCTTATATTATTATTTGGTTATTTTGCTGTCGCGAAATTTTTTTGATAGAAAACATATACACGTTTACCGTAAAACTAATTTTGCACTTTCAATTCACCGATTATCACCGGCAAAACTGAACTCAAATCCGAGTATAATATTAATGTCTTAAATTACATATGTTTAACTCTGACATTAAATGTTGCCATCGTTCAATAAAGAGTCAAAATATAATCTAATCATCGAAAATGAAGATTATTTTTGATTTATATTCATTTTAATCAAGACAATATATGTAGTGTAACAGTTTAACAGTTTCATTGCACACCAAATAAAATCTGTAATACAGCTTTTTTATGCTTGTACAGTTACCGTACAACGCTATTAACGCATAAAGCTGTATAATTTGCGTAATTTTTTACTTATAAGAACTGTTTAAGCGCTTATACAGCCTTTACATAGCAAGGAAATACATTATCGAGTACAAAAATGAACTCTAATACAGCTCGTATACAGCTTGTATGGTGCTTGGTGTTGTTGCGCGCCACTATTAATGTCTTGTACATGGAAACACTAGTTACCACTAGCACCCTCTAGTATCGAGTAGCAGAACTAGGAGAGTCATAATCCTTATAGAAATTGCGGGACCAATATGTACTCGAACATACTAGATGTTTCTACAGTAGAAGGTTTTGGAAACTATCTGAGGCCCTATATAAGCCCGGTGTAGACCACGACCGGGTCAGTATTGAATTGCCGATATAAGCGAATACTTCGAAGTGATATAACTGCGAACTAAAGTGATAAGTAGCACAATTGTGTTTTATTATTAGTGTGTTTTTAAGTTGTAATTAGTATTCCGTAATTAAAGTGTCAATTTTGGTAATTCAATCGGCAGTTTTTAATTGTCTCGAACCCCAAGCTCGTAACAGTGTATTGCTTATATCTTTGTCATGTCTGCATACCGAATTTAAGCTTTGGAGCAACTTATAATTACGAAAAGTATAAAATACTTTAGTAGTTTTGTGGAGTTCTTCTTTCTTTTTCTTTTCTTTTTTTAACGTTACTAGAATTTTCTTCTGCATCGTGTAGACAGTTTACATTCAATAATCGCACAAGGAAAAATATTCAGACAATGAACAATTATTTGTAGGCCATACAAACACTTGTTCCGTGTGAGATTCGAACCCGCGGCCCTCGGCGCTGCAACTCAAGCAAAAAGTTAACGAAATTGCCAGTTTTAGTTAGTGTAATGTCCTTGCTATTCAAGGAATACGGGGAACGTTTATTTAAACACACTGAACCCGTAAACGATCATTTTATTTTTACAATACAGGGTAGCCGTAGAAACCGTTATTATTATCTACCGACACAATATGCTACATCCCTCCACACTTAGATTACAACGTAATATACAATATATAAGCATTATACCTAATTAATGATTAAGTACCACATTTTTATTTGGGAAGCAACCAACTATGCTTTATGTATAATTGATGGACATGTTGCGTTTACACAATTTTAGCATAAAAAAAATCAAAAACACATATACTACAATACATACATTGATTTATGTATAATAAAAAATGACATTAATCACTCGACTTTAACACCTCTCCTCTACGTTTATTAAGAATACACAAAAAAACAATTATAACAAAACAAATGTTTACATTAGATTTAGTAAGTATAAATATTATAAAACTAAGCGTTTAGGTGGTTTAATAGCGCGGCCAGATCGAGTGCGCATGGTCGTGGAGGTTTGAGGCGGTGGGGACACGTCTCCCATGTCAGACTCCGCGTGAGTCAGCACCGGTGCCGCCTCACCGCCGTCAGGTCCCGGTGGTTGTGCGGCTAGCGCACCACCTGGGCTATTGAGAGGTAATGATGCAGGTGTATCATGAGAGGCACTGGGACCTGCCGTGCTCCCAACGCCCATATCCTCAAACGTCCACGCCGCTTCACCACGACTGCTGTTATGTGATTTGGCTGACATTAACTGATTCACATGACGTCTCCAAATGATATCGGATCTCTGTATCGCCACATCATATAGAACTTTACCTAAGCGTGCAACGACCTGGCCAAGGATCCATGTTGGTCTTTTGGGATTGGCTCGATAGTCTCGTACCCAAACTTTCTCCCCAATCGAAAATGCTTTAATTTTACCACCAAAATACAATTTTTGACGATTTTGATTCACTAACACATTTTTATGTATTAGAGGTTTTCGATCTAAATTTGAACGCTTAACAGCGACTAAATCAAGTTTACAACGTAAATTCCGACCGAATATAAGCGATGCAGGTGATACTCCCGTCGTACAATGCGGTGTATTCCGATAGTGAAACAAATAGTTATCTAAGTGATTAGCGAAGTCTTTAAAACCACAATCCTTGATAGCATTCACAATAAACCGCTTACAAGTCTTTACTGCGTTCTCGGCGAGTCCATTACTCTGTGGCGAGTACGCAGGAGATAAAATGTGAGTTATGCCATTATCAGTACAGTACTTAGAAAATTCAGACGAAACAAAGGTTTTGGCATTGTCTGTGACTATTTTATTTGGAATGCCGAAACGTGAAAAATTTTTTTTTAATTTATTGATAAGTTCTTTTGATAAAAAATTTGACATTAATTCGCATTCAATCCATTTACTATGCGCATCGACTAGTACAAGAAAAATCTTCCCATGAATTGGGCCGAGGTAATCTAAATGGATTCTTCCGAAAACAGAGTCAGGCCACCCCCACGACTCCAAGCGCGCTTTCGCAGGAGATGGTCGCAAGGATATGCAACGACCACAGTTAGAAACCATGTTTTCTATGTCACTGTCGATACCCGGGTACCAACAGCGTTCTCTAGCAATCATTTTCATTTTAATTACTCCTAAGTGCGCAGCATGCAGTTCTTGTAGCACAGCAGCCCTATAAACAGTAGGCACTACAATTCTGTGACCTCTCATGAGGACTCCGCTATCAACATATAATTCATGCTGGCATCTATTATATGGCAAAAGTTCTGATGACACTTTCCGTGGCCACGATTTGGTCACATATTGCATGACAAGTGACAGAACTTTATCTTTATGAAAAGCGGCCCGCAGCTCGTCTAATGAAGCGGGCAGTGGCGCGCCAGCAGCCGCTAGCGCGTTAACATAACGGGTGACGTCATCTACGTGCGCCGTATCCCGCGACGAATCACAATCAATGGGAAACCGACTCAAATAATCAGCTACATTAGATTCACTATTAATGAACTCAATTTTATAATTATAGGCAGCAAGAAATAAAGCATACCGTTGCAGTCTCGCTTCGGACATATGAGGAACTCCTTTATCGGGGGAGAAAATAGAAAGGAGGGGCTTGTGGTCTGTTCTCAAAATAAATGGTTGCTGGCGGCCATAAAGATATTGATGGAATTTTTTGATTCCATAAATAATGGCAGTCGCTTCTTTCATAATTTGACTATAGCCACGCTCACTTTTAGTGAGAGCACGTGAAGCGTAACTGATCGGGCGCTCGGCACCCGCGGGGTAGCGCACCGCGAGCACCGCGCCTAGCCCGCCGGGGGCCGCATCCACTGTCAGAACCAGCTGCTGCCGCGGGTCAAAGTGCGCCAGTACGCGACTTGAACATAACTCGTCTTTGATAGCATCGAACGATTTCTGATGTTCCGCCGTCCATTCCCATTTCATATTTTTTCGCAGTAAATTATGTAATGGTTCAAGAATGACCGCCGCTTGCGGTATAAAGCTACGGTAAAAGTTAACTAACCCCAAAAATGATTTTAATTGTCAGACGTTTCCTGGCACCCTTGCTTGTGTAATAGCCTTTATTTTATCCGGATTTTTATGAAGGCCAAAACGATCAATAACAAAACCCAAATATTCTATTTTATTTTGGAAGAATGAACATTTCGAGCGCTGGAGCATTAGCCCGGCGTCTCTTAGACGACTTAGTACCAAATCGACACGTTCCCAATGTAATTCGGCGGTCGGAGCCGCGATTAACAAGTCGTCGAGGAAACACTCCACGCCATCTATGCCCTGCAGCAGTTGCACCATAGCACGCTGAAACAAAGCTGGCGCATTTGACAAACCGAACACTAATCTTGTATACACAAAAAGACCTTTATGCGTATTGATACATGTATACTTTTGTGACTCATCATCTAGAAGGAACTGATTATAACTATTTGATAAATCAAGCCTACTAAAGTAACGACAATCGTGTAACGATGCACATAACTCACTTATTTTGGGCAATGGATAAGAGTCAATTATTAGGGCCTTATTGATCGTCATAGAATAATCGCCGAAAATACGTACGTCATTATTTTTCTTTAATACTGCAACAATCGGTGACGCGTAATTAGAATAAGAAACCGGTTTGAGTATGCCAGCGCGCACTAATCGGTCCAACTCTGCGCTTACCTTATTTTTGAGCGCAAAAGGCACCGGCCTAGCTTTAAAAAATTTTGGTGTGACACCTTCTTTTAAGTGTAGCGTTAACTTATACTTATTGAACGTGCCCAACCCACCAGAAAATAATGTTTTATATTTCGACAAAATAAATTTTTCTTTATCTACTGAACAATAATTTAATGAGATAAAAGCGAAATTAAATTTTGTCATAAAGTCCCTACCGAGCAAGGGAACCGGGCCATTTTCAACAACATAAAATTTTATATTATGCGTTACATTATTATATGTGACTGGTAAGTAACACATGCCCAATAGCCTTAAAGCAGAACCACTGTATGTATATAAAGTTTTATTGGACTCACCGAGTGACAAGTTTCGCGAGAAATACATATACCATATGCGCGCCGGCAGCGCTGATACCCCACTACCGGAATCAACCTCCATACTAAGAGTAACACCTCGCACTATAACTTCAAGAGATATCGGTTTTTCTTCCTTACATAAAATAGTATTAATACGTGATTCATTATTTATATCTCTAACATTATTAATTGGTGAAAAATCATTACATTCGTCCCTATCACTACCTTCCAAAATGTAATTATTCTGCATACCATTATGCTGCTTTTTCACAATTTTGTCCTTTTTGGTTGTAATCTCGTTATGTACGTAGTATCTCTTAGAACACATTCTTTTTAAATGCCCTTTTGCACCACACAAATTGCACGACAGATGACGATAGCCACATACGGAGGTATCGTGTGACCTCGCACCACACACACTACACCTGGGGGCTCCGCCGTCGCCGCCACCACGGGCGCGACCGCCTCGTGTACCGCCGCTTGCAGTAGCTTTTCGCCGCGAGTCCGTATATAGCACAGGTTCAGACTTAATTAACTCCGCCGAATCGCCAGCGGAAACAATACGCTGCGCACTTTCAACTGCACAAGCTACTTCAAGTGCCTTATTTAGTTTTAGCTGATTGGGATCTTCTCTAAATAATTTTTCGCGGGCCGACGCAGTGTCAAGACCAAGTACAAAACGGTCCGTCAAACACATCTCTAGAGCTGTACCAAAACAACATGCCGATGCTAGTCCACGAAGACGAGCAGCATACTCCACCATCGACTCGTGAGGGTCCTTTTTAGCCGAATAAAACTTTTGTCTTTCAGCGTATATACACTTTTTTGGGTCGAAGTGGCCGTCAAGCGCAGCAATAATCGCCTTGTAATCGGTTGATTCAGGCGTATTTGGATACAATAAATCACGAGTAAGGCGATATGAGTCTTGTGACATGCTATTCAATAAAATTGCCCGTCTTCTCACTCTTTGAGCATCTGTGATATCGTCGATTCCATTTGCAATAAAGAAGTTGTTTAGTTGTGCTACGTGTACCACCCACTCATCTGTTTTGCAATCGAAAACTGGCACTTTCCCATAGATAGACATTTTAACGCGTGACTTCTACTGTTGGTTAATCGATTATTAATACACAAAATAAACTCGTCGCCACTGTAATGTCCTTGCTATTCAAGGAATACGGGGAACGTTTATTTAAACACACTGAACCCGTAAACGATCATTTTATTTTTACAATACAGGGTAGCCGTAGAAACCGTTATTATTATCTACCGACACAATATGCTACAGTTAGAAGTACTATGTCTGATAAAAAATACAAATTCAAATAAATTTATGTCAATAAAAATAATGCAATAATAAAACACAATTATACGTGATAACAACATTGCTGTAAGTTTTTAAGTATTATGCGTATTTAAGCTTATGATATTGTTAATTTATAAATGTGTTTAATCAATAAAACAATTATATATTAATAATATATATTATCTTATCTATATCTATAGAATCTTCTTTTATACCCGATTATTTAATTTATATCACGACTTGTAAAAATATCTTATTTGAAAAACAAAATTAAAATATTGTGCTTTGTGTAATTATTTACTACTTCTACAGTTGTTTTATGACCATAACTCTACAATTTTTATTGTATTATCAAACATTGTACTTCAAAAAGAGATTTATACTATGATATTTTATTTGTATAATATGTTACGCGATATCTTCACCAACTGTAAACCAATTTAAACTATCTTTTTTTTATTTAATAGGCTGAAGCACATTTCTAAGATGGTCTCATTTAGATTTGAAAAAGAAATTCCGCCCTTAGAGAAGACAAATATTGAAGTTTATAATTGATTTTGTGAGAGACATTGAGTTCGAACTTCTAATATTGTTTAGTCCACACAAGAGGGTCCTACAATAACACACATAAAAAGTGAAAACTGACTCCCAAAAAGCTTAATAGACCACTTAGTTTCGTAACTTCTAACTTCACTGTTATAAATGTGAAAATGTTTTAGTATCATAGATTTAAATAATTTCTATCATAGAACAACCGCTTCTTTTAACACAGGTCTTTTCAAGAAAATAACTTACTAATAATACTCACCACGCTGCAGAGGAATTGGTTGTCACTCTCGCATTAGTTTAATGCTTTCCGTCACCAGTCTTCGAAATTTAGATTTGTCCTCTTTAGATTGAATTTCGTCGTCATTCGGTTGTTTGAATATCTTTTGTAAAACAGTTTAATGAACCATGAGCAATTGAGATTAGTATTTCGAAAAATGTTAACATTGTCCTTATACGTTGCAACCTATTAACCAACGACTTAACTATTTACTCATCCGCAGCCAATCTACGCCATCATTGTACAACGATTGTTCGAGCGCATATAAGTGTCTACAACTTCTATGCGCTCGTGTAAAATTTTAAAACCTTCGTCTTTTAAACTTGTTCTATGCATGAGAGTGCTAACAGTTGATTGGATAGATTTTTAAGTAATTTAAAAGAGTTTGTATTTCATTTATCAAAATGAAACCTTGTAACATTAATTAGCTATTTAAGAACATGAAATTGAATTGCAGAAAAGAAATAAGTCCTATGTTAATTTTGTAATGTGTAGCTTAATTTAAAAAAATATCTATCAAGTCAATGGGACAAATTATGATTTTTAAAGATGGCGGATTTATATCTCGCTTACATCAGACGTAAAATACTCAGAAATATGACGGTCAGCAGCGTCTTAATTGTGTTTAGTAATCGTCTAAGTTGTTTAGTACTGCGATGATCAATCCACGTGACTTATAAGGCAAATTTTCTCTTGTATGGGTTAATGATGATGGTGATAATGATGATAGTGATAACGATGGTGCTGGTGGTGTTAATGATGATGATTATGCTGGTGAACAAGAAGAAAGAGACGATGATAAACAGAGCAAAATGCACTTTATCACAGCTATATAAGAAAATTCATCATCCATATCGTACCGTTTATGCTACGTTAGTTTCGTAAGAGGATATATCTTATAGCTTCCGATAGACAGCGGATGAAGTTGTCACTTACGCTATAATATGACGTAACTAATGAACTAACTAAAAACTAATAAACAGTAATACAATGGAGAACGTATTAATTTGGTGACAGCCAACGGTCAGCGCATAACTATCCGTGGAGAGAAGGAGATGGAGTTGAAGTTTGGCAACATGATATTTTTTTTTCTTTTTTTTTTATAGGATATCGTGACAAACGAGCACACAGTCCACCTGATGGTAAGTGGTTACTGTGACCCATAGATATATACATCTATCCTCAATAAAGACTCAAGAAGCAGATGCGTTGTCACCCATGAGGAGCAAGATGGAATTCCTCTTTTCTAGTGTGCTCGTTTGTCACCATGTCCTATATAAAAACAGTTTAGTAAATATCTTCTGGGGTAGAAATTTCACTTACAAACTGCCATGCTGCATTGAAATGACTATTGCATTTCAAAAATCCAGAAGTACAAGTTGTAAAATAGTTTGAACTACTGCAGGAATACGACTATCTGATCGAACATCACAGCGGAAAATCTCATGGCAATGCAGATGTATTGTCAAGAAAACCTTTTTCTGAAGATCGTAAGCATGGCAAGAGGGTAATAAGGTGGTATCTGGGAGGATACCCAGGGAAGACCAGCTTTATTAAACTTTGGAAAAGAATTACGGCTGCCTGCAGACCTGATCAGCGGAATACCACCTGATTCCCTACACAGTATAACCGTAACCTACCTTTACAGAAAAATGCAAGAAGTACTCCTAGATCGTCCATGTGGATTGACTGGTGCATTATAATGGGGCCGATAATACTCAGGACGAGCATGTATTAGGAGAGGCCAGTGTTACGCGCCACAATTAATGCCTCGTACATGGCAACACTAGTTACCGCTAGCGCTTTCTAGTATCGAGTAGTAGAACTAGGAGAGTCAAGATCCTATTTAGAAATTTCAATGGAAAAACTTTCTAGAACTATCGACACCGGTATGTAATCTAACATTCTAGATGTTTCTACAGTAGAAGGTTCTGGAATTATATGAGGTCTTATATAAGGCTGGTATAGACCACGACCTGAGTCAGTGTTGAATTAGCGGTACAAGCAAATACTTCGAAGCGATACAATTGCGAGCTAAAGTAATCAGTAGTACAATTGTGTTTTTTTATTAGTGTGGTTTTAAGTTTTAAATAGTGTTCTGTAATTAAAGTGTCAATTTTGGTAATTCATTCGACAGTTTTTAATTGTCTCGAGCCCCAAGTTCGTAACAATAATATGATTGACAATTTTCTTTCAAGATACCGTTCCACGTAATTTCAAAAAAGGTATGCTAGCAAAAATGTTTAATTGCAATTTCATACGCTTATAATCACGTGCTCAGCGGCGGTGTATAACGTTGTAACGTAACTTGCATACTCAGTAATAATAAAAAAGGGGTTGGCAGTAAAATCGACAGCCGCGTGAGTTAATCATGAAGACATAAAAGTATAGCATAAATAAGAAGATATAAATAATTCAATATTTGTCTGATCTAAATTAAGTTGTTTAAAGAAAGAAATAATTTTCATATTAATAAAAAAAATACAAATACTACATTTGCAGTCATAATGACGTGACGACAGTAACGACCTGGTAAGACATGCAGGAATCGATGGATGCAGGTGGCTCAGGACCGTGCTTTGTGGCATTCCTTTGGGAAGGCCTATGTTCAGCAGTGGACTTTTGAAGGACTGTAATGATGATGATGATAATGAATAAAATATTGTTAACTGCCACTAATAACGTGCTTAATGAACTGATGCTTCACACAATTTATTTACACAATATATCAAAAAGTAACATTGTAAAAATAATGATTTGAATTAACTTAAATTAAGAAATAATACATAATATATAAATTCGTGTATAGTTTTTTAATTTACATTCCTGTTGTCTTATTTATTCATTTACCCTTAATATTTTACCATTACAACTTATCAAAAGTCGACTGCTGAACATAGGATCCCTTCATAGATTGCTTAATAGATGGGGTCTATGTACTTAATACGTTTTAATTTCTTGTTATATTCACATTTATTGTTAATAATACTATTTTCATTGTTCGAATTTATGTAGAAATATCTTTTGGTACCTGATTAAATATTTTCAAAACGTTGCTATAAATATTTATCAGTAACATCAATGGATTTTCTACTTCATCTAGGAGAGAAAATAAATTACTGGGATTTGAATTGCTGTTACAGACAATTTGCTCGTTCACTACGAAGAAAATTAAATAAGACTCAGTTCTAAATTGAAATTTTATATTCTATTTAGGTGTTGAACAGTCTTCAGTAAAATATTTTAATGTATAAATGGGTAAGGGTAGGAGTGTAAGGGACAGTGTAAAGACTTTATATTTTTTCTGAAAAAATTAAGTATAACTTGACATATATACAGATCCTATAAAAGGCATAATATATTTTAGCTTAAAATTTTATCTATATGCTATAACTATCGATTGCAATAAAAATAAATGAATGTAAATAACCGTGAAGTAGTGGTGAATACCCATACTATCCCGACTGATAGAAACTGAACCAGGTGAACGATAACAGCATTTCCGATCACAGCTGAATAAAATAAACTGCGGCTGTCAAACCGCATGTCAAGCGTGACAACTATTGCAAATTTCCTCCATAAAAGGCAGTCTATAGGGTAGAATCTTATTGTGAGGTGGGCTAAAAGCTTTCATTAATGAAATTACTATTATGACAAAACTAGCAGCCAGATTGCTACTATAGAAAAAATAAATTATCATCTTCGAAATCCCAAGCGACTATATTATTTGTCTTTGCAATATTTAGATAAATATTACTCAGTGATATTCTATACGCCGGGATACCCTTACACAAGAGAACTCGTTTCCAGCACATTTTAACATTGAAATACTAATGGGAAATTGATCACAAGGAATTGGATTATAACAGAGTTTCGTTTTTTTTTTTTACGTTTATACTAATATAATAAAGCGGAAAAGTTTTATTGTTTGTTAAAACGCGCTAATCTCTGGAAC